GATGGAGAAACCATAAATATTCAGCATTTTTAACTCAGCAAATGTTTATTAAAGACCCACTGCAGGTGAGGTCTGTGCTTGGTCCGATAGGTGACCGAAAAATGAGGAAGGCACAATCCCTGCCCCAAAGGATCTAGTAATTACAGCAGAATACAAAATGAGTTAAGCACACGAAGCACAAGAGTGAGAAAGAGATCACAGAAGCACTATAAAAACAAAACAAAACAAAGCAAAGCAAAAACGGACTTCTCTGCCAGGCCAGTGTGTCTTAGTGGTTGAGTGTTGATGTATGAACCAGGAGGTCACAGTTTGATTCCCGGTCAAGGGCACATGCCCAGGTTGTGGTCTCAATCCCCAGTGTGGGGTGTACAGGAGGTAGCTGATCAATGATTCCCTCTCATCATTGATGTTTCTCTCTCTCTCTCCCTTCCTCTCTGAAATCAATAAAAATATATATTACAAAAACAAAAACAAAAAAACTTAACAGACTTCTTAGAGGAGTGGTATTTAGGATAAGCCTTGAAGGAGATTTGGGATTTTATGGTCAGAACCAGGTTAACTGAAGAGGATGAGAAAAGATACATACCAAAAATACTAAAATAGTAAATTAAAACCTCTAGTGTTTTTTTAAGTCTTGTTTTATTTTTATCTTATTTTATCATCAGCAAAGTGTACAAGAGAAAAGTTACAGTTTTCAGTCAACTGTGATTAGAAACTATTAGAAGGGTGAAAATATTTAAACTGCAAAACTGAGAATTAAACTTTGCTTTTCCTAAAAATTAATTTCTAAATGGTAGTGTTTGATACCAGTATATCCATTGTTTTCTTCAAATCCCTTTTGCTTCCAAAAAAAGACAAATCCCTCCCATATAGATTTTTCATCATTTTAGTAAGATAGTATTATTTATAATTTTAAATAATTTAGGTAATATATTTATATTACGTTAATACAATTATATCTTCACTGACCATAAATTAATTAATAGCTGTTCACTTTTTAAAAGTATGTTTTTATTGATTTCAGAGAGGAAGGGAGAGGGAGTGAGAGATAGAAACATCAAAGATGAGAGAGAATCACTGACCGGCTGCCTCCTGCATTTTATATTTAAAAAGCTTGAGCCCCAAACCCAGGCATGTGCCTCAGTCAGGAATCTAACCTTGACCTCCTCTTGGTTCCCAGGTTGACATTCAACCTCTGAGCCATACCAGTGAGGTGATAGCTGTTCACTTTTAAAGCTGTGTGTTTTTTTCTAAAGATGCTTGGGTGTTGATTCATAGAAATCCAGAAATCAACGTCATCCCCTCATTCTCATGGTAAAATTGAAGCTTTTATACTGTAGATGTCAATATCTTCAACTGTTGTTTCAGTTATTTGAATTAGAGTTTAGACAGGGCTATCATGTTATTTTGCAATCTTGAATTTAAATTTTGATTTTATAGATGAGTATGCACTTGGCATATGTTTTTCTTAGAATTCTGGGGTGTTTTTCCAAACCAGTATTATATGAAATGCTGAAAGGTATCCTTTAAGAAGAGGAAGAAGAAGAAAAAGGTAAAGATACAAATTATGAACAACAAATATGCATCTATCAACAAGTGAATCTAAGAATCAAGTGAATAAATAATCTGGTGATCATTATAGAATCAGGGACATAGAAAGGGAATGGACTGACTATTCTTGGTGGGGAAAGGGGTGTGGGAGATGCGGGAAGAGACTGGACAAAAATCGTGCACCTATGGATGAGGACAGTGGGTGGGGAGTGAGGGCGGATGATGGGGGCGAGAACTGGGAGGAGGGGAGTTATGGGGGGAAAAAAGAGGAACAAATGTAATAATCTGAACAATAAAGATTTAATTAAAAAAAAGAATTCTGGGGTGTTTTTGTAAATTTTGTAAGTGTTCAGGGTCATATGTAGATATAAATCAATGATTTGTGTTTTCAATACAATGGTCTTCAAATACATACCCACTCATTTTGGAAAATAATGATTCATATAAATTGAATAAATCCCAACATAAAATGCTTTTTAAATATAAAATTCTAAAAACCCATACGAATGGTGACTCAGATGAGGAGTCCATAAATTTTAAAGAGAACTTTTAACTTTTTTCATATTAACAAAATCTACATATTTTTTAAGTTATGATAGAGTATGCATATGTATTTGGATTATGTATGTTATATATCAATAGGTAAATATGACACTTGATGATTTCAAAATCTCATTTTTCTTCTGAAAGTTTGTAGAATATACATGGCATTTAATTAATCTGGGATTATGTATTTTCTTTTTTCTTAATAAAAATTCTAAAGAGCAAAAGTCATAAAAATTAAATCTTAAACTTTAGAGATAAATATGCAAGAGAGTATTGTAATATATAATAATGGTTAATATTACATCACAATTTTGCATATTATCAAATTAAATTTTTACTGTGAATGTATTTCTGGTCCCATCATTTAATTATGCAGAATTTTGTAATGACTAGTAGCAAAATATATGTGAAATATCCTAACACATTGCTTAATACATAATGAGTACTCATGTACATTTTGGGTTAAGCACTCCAAAATGTAAGATCTTTCCTTTCTCTCTGAGCTGAATTACACTGGTCTGCAAATCCACCCTCAGAAGCCCTAAAAACCCACGAATACAGCATCTGTATAGCACTCAAACATCAGTGGGACTCTGTAACATTGTTCTCTGTAAAACTGATTAATCCTGCCTCACAGCTAGTCCCAGATTGTTTGATCAGGAAAAGGAAATTCTAAGGATAAGAAGCTTTTCTCATATGGCTAGAGGATGGTAACAGAGAGGTTCAAGAATGAGTCTCTATGATTAGGAAGAACAGAAGGCGGATGATGAGAGCTAAGGAATAAACTCCCTTCTGCAATAAAAGAGCCAGGAAGTGCTGTGTAGCAAAATGCAACTGTGGAATCCAAGAAATCAAAATATTCTGTATAAGCTCCTACTCCTCTACAAATACTCACCCTTGCGCAGCACTGCTACACTGCCTCACCTGCAGACCACTGCAGCCATGATTCCTGCCAACAACCTGTGTCTTTGCTTAGTGACAGTCTTTCTTCCTCTGGAGAGGACATCCTCTGGCTCAATTAAATGTGTTCAATGAGCTCTGGCTGGTAGCTCAGCTGGTTAGAGCATCGCCCCAATAGACCAAGGTTGCAGGTTAATCCTCAGTCAGGGCACACATAAGAATTAAGCAATGAATGCATACATAAGTGGAACAAGAAATTGATGTCTCTCTCTTTCTCTAAAATCAATAAATAAACATTTAAAAAACATTTCATGTTTAAATAAACATTTAAAATTCATATTCAATGAATCTATCCTTTTGGCTCTCATTGTATGAAAGGATTTTAAATACACTGTGTAGTCCAGCTACAAAAGATCTGTTTGGAGACATGCATTGTGAGCCACTTGCCAAAAATAATCTACCATGTTCTTTTGATGGATGGATGGATGGATGGATGGATGGATACATAAATAGACACTTAAATCTATCCATCACTAATGTTCTTTTGATGGATGTAGTAAAAAAAAAAAAAGAAAAGAAAAGAAAAAATGAAGCTGGGTGAGTAGCTGCCGAATCAGGCAATGTGATATGTATGGAAGTGAAATATACCCTGGTCATCCCTTTAGTTCAAGTTGTTTTCATCTCTTTCTGGAACATCTGAAAACATCTACTTGAGCTTTAAATGAAATCTCAAATCCGTAACAGTCAGGTCCCCACCTCCATCTGTAGCCTCATCCTGTGCCACTCTGCCCCTTACTAAGACTACTTTCTGGCTTTTATGCATTCCCCAGATACAATAAGCACTTTCTTATCTCAACGTCTGGACCACTGTATTTGTTTTCTAGGGATGCCATAACAAATTTCCACAAACTGGGTGGCTTAAACAACAGAAATGTATTCTCGGTTCTGGAGGCCAGAAGCCAAAATCAATGTGTCGGCAGGGCTGTGCTCCCTCTGAAAGTGCTGGCAGATCTTTCCTTGCCTCTTCTAGCTGCTAGTGGTTGCTGGCAATCATCTATGTTTCTTAGTTTACAGATGCATCACTCAATCTCTGCCTCCATCTTCTCTCCTGTATCTCTCTCTGTGCCTAAATTTCCTTCTATAAGGACATTAGTTATTGAATTTAGGTTCACCTCAATCCAGCATGATCTAATTTAACTTGATTGCATTTTGTAATGACCCCACTTCCAAGAACGGTCACATTCACAGGTACTAGAGATTAGGACTTGAACATCTTTTTTTTTTGAGGACACTATTTAATCCGTAACAGTCACACTGTTCCCAACAGACTTACTGATAGGAACATGGACTCTGGAACCCAGTCTACCTTAATTTGAATACCAGTTCTGCTCTTATTAGCCATGTGATCATGGGCAAGTCACCTCTTTGGGCTTCTGTTTTCATATCTGTAAAATGAGGATGGAAACAGCATCTCTATCACGGAGATAATGTGAGAATTAAATGAGTTGAGTACAGTGAGAACACAGTTAAATATTCAGATTCCCTGGCCCTGCTCAACACCCAAGGAATTCAGAGAGAGGGTGCAGGAATGTGTATTTTTTTTAAAAGCACCTCCAAGTGATCCTGTTGCAAGGCACCTGTATACGCAGATGACTTTTATGCATGAGGACCACACGCATAGATTGGGTATTATCGAAAGACAACAGCATTCCGCCCTGGCTGACTTTCGCCCTGCTCAGCAGCCAAATCCCGTTTCAGAAGCGGCTTGCGGTCGGCAGTAGCAGAACGGAACTGAGCATGCGCTCCCAGATGCTCCGCAGGGCTCCTTAAGACCCCGCCCCCTCAGGACCAGAGGGCGGGGCTTTCCTTAGTAACTTAACTCCGGTTTCTCCCTGCCGCGGTCTAAGACCCCGCCCCCGGCTGGCTGACCAATCACACGTCAGGTTGCTGAAGGTCGGGGCCAATGCCCAGGGCCGTCCTTAATTCCTCCCTGCAGTTTGAAACTGTCAGGCTGCTGCTAAGGTAGCTCCGGTACTGGCTGTGGCTTTAGCAGGGACGCGGCGGGCTGACGCGGACGGAGGAGTCGGGGTTCCTGGAGAGCTGCGACGGTGGGTAGCGGCGCCCTGGGCGACCCCGAGCCCCTGGCGGAGGCAGCGGAGTGGGCTTTAAAGTGCTTTGGCCCAGATTTCCGCCCCCGGGCTCCGGGCTGGGAGCATCGTCCCCTAGACTCCGCCTTTCTGCTGTTCAGCGGGGCAGCAAGGTCGCGAGGTTTTCCTCTCCGAGTCGTGGCGAAGAGAGGGAAGGAGGAGGGATGCCTTAAATGTAGCGGTTACTGTCCCATAGGTTCTGGCCATTTAAAACGTTAAGGGGGGGAAATAACCATGTCAAACGCTTCCTTGTTTTTAAGTAAGAATGTGATTAAAACGGGTGGGTAGGAAAGTGATCGGAAAGAACTAGCCCTTTGCCGACTCGCAACTGCTTTCCCGTCTGCTGCGAGCCCTTGGCGTGGGAGCGGCCCGCGCGCCCTGATCTTGCCTGCAGGTGGCCCGGTCCGCGAGGGGCGCGGGGCGCACCCTGCCGCCGGCTTGCACCTGTCACCCCTCCTCTGCCTCTTAGGGCTTACTTTTGAGTTCCCACAAGGATCCCTCTTTCCCCATCAGCCAGGTGATTACCAAGACGTACTTTGGTTTACCTGGCCATAAAGAAGCCCTCGGAATCTTTTATCCCTGGTTTTTGACGTTTTGGGTTAGAAAATACTGAAAATTTAGTGAACCGATGTACGTCCGCCACCCGTGAAAGCAAGCTCCATTTTCCTCCTTTGTTTCTGAACCTAGGAGAAGTTAATGCTACCGTTGCAGAGTTTCACATAAACGGCCATACCTTGTTGGCATCACAGCAGGGCAGGTGGAAGATTGAGCCCGTGTTTTTCAAAAGTACAGTAGTTGTTTCGTGTCTGCAGTGTCTCTATTCAAAGACTCCCTATTAGTCCGACCATACTGTGCAGTTCCTTTGTTTTTTTAAATAATCAGCCCCGCCCCACCCCCACTCCTATACGTAACTGACCAGCAAGCACATCCTAAAGGAAGAAGTGGATGGAAACAGGGATGGACCACTTACCACAGGGGTGGGTTTGAAGTCCTGTGGAGCAGCCATTCCTTGCTGAGATGTATGTGCTTATTTTATCCTTCCTAAGTGGCTTAGCGAAAGACAGGCAGGCAGAGATTTAGTTCACTTGTATATTCAGGAACAGCCACTGAATAAAGTTGAGCTATCCTTTCCACAATCTAGCCCCAATTCATGTTTCTTCTAATATTGCGGTTTCCCTGGATCCACCCTTTCTGCTTCAATTTCCTCATCTCACTTACTTTTCAGCCCACTGTGATTGAGACCTGTTCTACTTTCCACTGGAATTGTTCAGGGAAATGTCATAGCAACTTCCTGACTGCCAAATTCAAGGGATTCTGTCCAGTTCTCATCTTGGTATGTGGCTCTGACTTCCTTCTCTAGGCTTTTGTGATGCTGTTCTTTCTGATAGTTTTATTGGTCTTTGTAGTCTTCTTTGTTGGCTTTTCTTGCTCCCCTTTAAATGTTAGTGGTCGTGGTTTTAACCTTTGTCTCACTATGGTAGTGGCCCTTCACTTTATTAGGTTGTAGTTTCCTCTGAACACATATTGGAAGCTAAGGATCCTCTTCCTAGAAAAATACACGCATGTGCATTTATATTAAAAATAGTGCATACAATTTGGGTATATGGACTTCGGAGTAAGAAATAACCTGCTCCCCTTCCTACATTTCTTGCCTTGGTGAGTGGCACTATCATCTATCTAGTTACTCAAGTCAGACTCCTGGAAGCTATTAACAATTCCTCCCTTTAATCCCTGAACCAATTTATTAACGAGGGTCTCTCATTTTCATTGCCATAACACAACTGTCTCATAGTCATACCCTTCATCTACTTCCCATTGCTGACTCCTAGATTCAGGTCCTCATTTATCTCCTGGATTACTGCCAGAGGGAACACTTACTTCTTGGACTGCTGCATTCAGCTCTCAATTGATCTCTCTTTCTTCAGGACCCCAACTCTCTAATTCATCTTGAAAGTTGCCAGAGTGATCATTCTAAAAGACAAGCATGATCTGGTTATCACTTGTTTAAAACAGTTTAATAACTTCTCTAAAATAAAGACCAAACTTTTTAACATGACATAATCATGATCTTCCGTGATCTGGCTGCTCTCAGCCAAGCCTTGCTTTACACCCTTTGCTTACAGCCTTAACTATTATACTTACGTTCCTAGCATACCTGTCCATGCCTGTGTCTTTGCTTATGCAACTCTACTGCCTAGTATACCCTGATAACTTTTATCTGTCTTTCAGATCGCAACACTGGGGTCATTTTCTCTATTAAAATTTTCTCTGGCTCCATTCTTACTTCTTCACATCCTCAGGATCTCACCCCATGAAAAATGGCTACTCCTGCCTCCTTTATTTGCACCTCTTTTGTTTAGGGTCTATCAGCACTTTTTTCATCAGTCACTTATATACCTATCTGGCCCCTCCCTATAGATTATAAGTCCTTGAGGACTCATCTTACTTCCTCACCAATGTCTTACATGTTACTAGTATTCAGATAGTTTGAATAGTCACTACTTGTCTTTTAAATAATTTACTTACTAGTTACTAAAAGTACTTTTATTTATTTATTTTTAGGACTTTCAACAATTTTTCTATGTGCGTATTAGAATCTGTTGTTTTGTATAAGCTTACTTTTCTTAAAATAATACTTCCAAAAGGTAAGTTTCCCAAGCAGGGAATTTGCTCAAATTGTTCATTCTCCTTGGTTCAGCATCTTCAAAGAAAGTGCACAACATCTAGGTTGTCACACATTGTTAAGAACAGAGGTCGCAATCCATTATTCTCAACCCTCTACTGTGCGGACGTTTCTGAGGAGCCTCCATTTTTCTTTAACCTTTCATGTATTTGTTTCATCTCCTTTGCTACTTTATAAACTCACTAATTTTGGGAATTGAGTCTTTAACTATTTTTTCTTGTCCAATGATTTTGTCTATGGTTGCTCTAATATGTGGAATGATTTTAAAATATCACAATTATTGTTTTGGATGGTGTTCCATCTCTATGTAAGGAATTCTATTTTAGTTTAAATATTGAAGGGGAAAAACTAAAGTTAACGTTTACTGTTTTATAGTATTTTTACAGAATGTCATCAGATGAGGAGAAATACTCATTTCCAGTTATGCAGAATGACTGCAACCAAAACAGTTCAAGCTCTTCAGATCTTCAGGTAGGAAGACATGTCTAAATTTGTTATGACTTACTTATTTTCAACAAATAGTATGAGGGAAAACTGGGAATACATTTTTCATTCATGCCATTTACATTTATAATTATAATCTATAATAATAAAAGGGAAATATGCTAATTAGACCAGACGTCCTTCCAAAGAAAGCCCGGGCCAGAGGGAAGCCGCCCGGCCCCGGGTGCCTGCCGGTGGCCGGAAGAGGGAAGCTGGGGTCCCGGGTGCCAGAGGGAAGCCAATGCCAGCAGCCAAGGGAAGGAAGGCCTACTCTTGCACCAATTTTCATGCATTGGGCCTCTAGTGTGTATATAATATATAATGTATATCAGATTATACCAAACTTTAGGAATTATTTTACAAACTTTGGGACATGCCTTACATTATTTTAATCTTTCTGAAAATAATCATAAGCTCTTTACTTAATGTACAAAGGCTTCAAACAACACAATGAGAGAAGCTGTAAATCTCAAACATTTTTTTCTTGGAATTTTCTCATTGTAGCTATCTCTTTATGAATGCTGCTTTCACTTTAATGCCAATTAATACAACATCAAACCATCCAAAGTTCTGAGGTCTAGATTCCTTAGTGTTCTACTCTAGGTTCTAGTCCCTGTTGCCACAACATTCATCACATTCTGCTGCTTGGACAGTGACAGATAAATTGACTGCAGAAGGTATGGGTTTTATATGAAACGCTCTGAATTTCTTTTATTTCTAAACGTTTTATCAAAAATATGGATTCAGATTTCTAGAGTAGGTTTTAATCGAGAGAATACTAACATGGTATATCTTGAGTTTTATAATTATATCACTTAAGAGGAAAAAAGCTGGACATTATGTTTGTTACATTATGTTGAGTAAGTATAATATGAGAAAAGCTTCAAGAAAATATTTTATGAGCAAATGTGTTCCTTTAATTGAAATTACAAATTTAGACTTTGGGAAGCTACTGTTGAAGTATCTGTGATTATTTACTAGTAAAGAAGCATTCGGGAATTGTGACAGATGTTGTATCCTTGCCTTCCCTTTGGGTGGTACCTCTCCAACTTGGTGCCATCTTTTTAGGTGTCAGTGCTTTCCTATACTCTTCATCTCTGTCTTATCCAAACATGTTTCTAGAGGGACCTATTTAATTCATTTATACTTGTGATATTATGATTTATAATAAATATGTATTTGGTCTTCATCCTGGTTTCTGGCACAGAGCTCCTAAAACATTGTAATTTCTTAAGCGATGAGAATGATAAAGTGGTCTTTTATTATGAGGTGACTTTTGCACCCACACCTAAAGATGAGGGCTGGTTGCCAGAGGAACCAATTATGTAATTAGAGGATTGGAAATTTCAGTCCTACCCCCAAACTTCCCGGGAGGGGAGAGGGGCTGGAAATTGAGTTCAGTCACCAATGGCCATGATTTAATGAATCATGCCTATGTAATGGAGCCTCCATAGAAACCCAAAAAAGAGAATTCAGGGAGCTTCTCGGGTGGTGAGCCACATGGAAGTGCTGGGTGACTGGCATGCTAAGAGAAGGCATGGAAGCTCCAAGCCCCTTCCTCAAACCTGGCCCTGTGCCTCAATTTACCTGGCTGTTCCTGAGTTATATCCTTTTATAATATACTGGTAATCTAGTAAGTGAAATGTTTGAGTTCTGTGCGCCATTCTAGGAAATTAATTGAAGTTGGGGGTGTGGGGAGCTGTCTTATAGGATTAAACCCTTAACCTGTGATCCGATGCTAACTCTGGTGGATAGTGTCAGATTGATTTGAATTGTAAGATACCCAGCTGGTGTCCAAAAACCCATACATTGTAATTGTTGGGTCCAGACCTCTTTTTTACTAAAATGTAAGTACCTTGTAAGATCTCAAGTTGTTTTGTTAGGAGACAAAGCTTTACATCAAAATAATAAATCTCTAGAGTAGAATTTAAGACAGGGATAAGGAAGGGTTTTCTAGACACACCAGAAATAATTTTGTGTTATTATCTGATTAGAATGTCAGCCCAACTAAGAGTCTGTTTATTAGTAACCCTCAACTCACAACTCTACTGGTTCATGACTACAGTTGAAAGCTACCCATGTCCTATTGTTGAAAATATTTCAAAATATAATAATATAAAATAGCTATACACTTTTATACATAGTAAATATGTACAGCTTTTGTTATTCTTTTGCCTGAGTGTCCATTGCAACAGTGTTATAAAACATTATTTATTATTGGTTTCTCATAGGAAGAGTATGAAGAATTGCTTCGTTATACTATAGTGACTCCAAATATTGAACCAGGTACTTCACAGCCATCTCATTCTAAGGGAGAAGTGGTGCCCGATGTTAGATTTCATACTATAATTGATGATACTCTTCATAATCAAGGTTATGTATATTTTTCAAAACATCTCTTAAGATGTTATTTGAACTTATAAATGCAATTGACTTACGATTGTGAAAATGCTTCTCCAATCAATGGTGAATATCACTATTATCTGGGGAAACTCTTTACATTTTAATGTTATTCTTGGCTCTTATATGACAGCTGGATCTTTGAGCTTCCTTTGACTTACTTTTCTGAAAAGTAATAAATTTAAAGCAACACTGTAGCCATTGCATGTCTCCTAGTAAAATATGTAACATCTCTGTATTTGTTCTAATGGTTATTTGTCAGGATTATCTTGAAAAATAAATGCCCAATCCCCCAAATTAAAGAAGGTCCATAGGTAGCCCTCAGAATCCCTTAAGCTTATGAACCATGTGCTGGGACTTTGTCAGCAGTATTTATATAGGCATAGAGGACTGTTTGAATTATCACCACAAACGTGAATCCATCCTTGGACTATGTCAGTGACAGAATTGAGAGCTAGAGCTAATACAAATCAGGATGTATGATGATAGATGAGTAAACGGTTGAAAAAGAAGGCTGAAGCTCCTTTTACCTATTTGTTCCTTATTTAGTAAAGTACAGGATCCCAAACAGCTCACTCTAAATAAGGGTACAGAAAGCCCCTGTAAAACAGCTCTGATAATGGGCAGTTATCAACAATAAACTCTAAGGATCCCTACTTAAAGGCACATGACACAGCCTACTCACAGTCAGCAGGCTCCTAGTTTTCTGATAAGTCACAGCCCTAGTGTCTATTGTCCTTCCTCTGTAGACATGGCCTTTCCATTGCTTCTCAATCTTTGACCTGTTGCATTGGATCAACAAGTAGACCACAATTGTAAAATACATATACTTATTCTACCACTGAACCATTTTAGCACTGAATACTTTCTGTCCAAATTTATTGATCTTTAAGAGATACGACCCTTGAATTCATTTTTATATCAGTAATATTGACCATGTTTTGATTATACTGGCACCTCAACATGGAGTTCCTATTGAGCAAACCCAAAGTGTTGCATATACTCCCTTACAAATGAATTTAGGCAATTAGTGTATTAGCCCTCTAAACCTCTGCCCTTAAGGTGGTCACCAGAAGCTTGTTTGCTTTTCCATTGGCTACAGTATTACTGTACTATTGTTCCCAGTGACACAACACAGGAGTTCTTTCCATGCCCCAACTCTGCAACCTTTCAGTTATCACTTGAGACTTAAGACCCCTGTTCTTTTTAGTATGTAGGGTAGTATTTGTTTATGCTCTGCCTTTATCAAGAAGGACTTGAGACCTAAGCATACAACATGCAGAGAATCTAGATTATCTTGATTTACACATTGACTTGGTTAGAATGGACTATGTAAATTTATCATCCCATTCCCTTTATTCTTGGTGTTGCCATTGTTTAGTATAAGTGAGGTGTGTCAGAGTTGGCAAAGTCATTCTTGTGAGGTTTTTCCCACTTTCCTTTTCGCTATGTATTGACTAAATGTTCCTGAGGTGGAAGTAAGGAAGTCCCTGTTTTGGGGGGAACGGGTGTCACTTTAGTTTGATTGCAGGTAGTGAAAAGCAGCGGCCCCTGGAAATATCCAATGTTATACAGCATAGCCTTTTCTAAGTTCCAATGTCATTCATCCACTGATTCTCAGTGTGAATTGAATGCCACAGTAGACTGACTTTTTTTTCATCCATATTTGGTGGGTGGAATTGAGTTTATTAATATAAGACTTTTTCTAGTTTCAGAATCTTTTCTTTATTCTTGTTCTTTTTTTCAATGTTCCTCTAACCCACCATGTTATATTTTCTTTGTTCTAAAATCTTATTTATATACCTCAACCTTCTTGAATTAAGTGTATGTGAATAGACTTATTTAAGAGTGCTTTGGGGTGTTTTTCTTTACAGTAAGAAGAGAAAGAGAAACAAGGACGGAAGTTAGAAAAGGATGTGATTTAAATATTTCAAGTCATTCAAAGACAGAAGGTATTACTTTCTTTAGCTTGTTTTTATTAATATACACAAATTTTGTGGTTTGATGCATATTATCTATGTAGTAAGAGGAATATTTTAGCATATTATTGGCAGGAATTTAAAATGCTGTTGCTAACTTACTAATACTATTTAAAATAATTTTATAATCAAAATAGTACAATTAAGACAAACAGGTTTATTTATTATACTATGTGACATCCTTTCTTAAATCTCCTAGGTTAGAAGGCAATTTTCTTTTTAATATATTTTTATTTTTTTATTATTATTTTTTTATTTTTGTATTATGGCTCTCTTTTTATTATTTTTATTATTTTTTTTTGGTTAGGCCTATATACTTGCATATAAGTCCTTACTTTTATTGTTTTCAGAGAAGGAAGGGAGAGGGAGAGAGAAAAATACATCAATGATGAGACAGAATCATTGATCAGCTGCCTTCTGCACACCCTCTACTGGGGACTGAGCCCACAACTCAGGCATGTGCCCTTGACCAGAATCTACCGAAGACCCTTCAATCCCCAGGCTGACGCTCTATCCACTGGGCCAAACCGGCTAGGGCAAGAGGACAAATATTTTTAAAGATTCAAAAGGATATCAGATAGTTTGGCCGATTTAAATTTTTTCATAATGCATCATTTCCCAATTTTCAGGCATTTGTGTACTAACTTTATGATTTTCTTCCTATCTTTATTCCACCTGTTCTATCATTTAAGTGTTTTCATATATATTAATTTTTAGCTTTTTATTTTAAAAGAAAAATATATTACATATGTTATTACTGTTTATAGCATAAAACTAATATAATCTTGTTACAAATAGAAAGCAATGGTAAAAATAAATGCAACTCAAAGTTATTAAAATTTGGTTGAATACTATTGGTGGTGGTGTGTTCAGCCTGATTAGCAAGTGTTATAGAGGTTTTAAAAGCATACTAGCACCAGATTGAAACTTTTTCTTTGACATAGAGTAAATAATATAGTAAAAATAGAATACTTTTCATACTAGGTGATTCAATGTTATTTAATGTAAGGGCCATTTAAGTCACTATATAAGAAATGCCTCTGTCCTTTAGTTTTCTCACTTATAAATAGAAGGCTCGGGCAATGTAATTTCTAGGGGATCTTCCATGCTCTTTTTTTTTTTCCTTCTTTTACTTTTATTAGTATTTATTTCATTCTGAATTTACTCTCAGGCCATAAGTTTATGTTTCTTCAGTTTCTTCTGGGGTAGTTTTCTCTTCTGTGTAACCTCCTCTTCTGGTTTGGAACAGTCTGTTCTTTTTCAGTAAAGATCATCCCAATGTGGCAGGGAGAGCTCATGTATAGGTTCATCTGCCCACAAGCTTTGTAAGTTCTGTACCTCATCTTAAGAGTTTTATTCACCTAGATGTGCTCAGTGACCAGAGACTCTACATCTAAACCCTTAAGCTCAGCATTACTCTCTACATTTTTAAGTATGTGCAGCAAAAATTTAGCACTCTTTTTGGGCCACTGACTGTGTCCAGCACAACTGTTTGGACTGGACACACCTACCAACTCCACCATTGTAACGACAGAATAGTGCATATAGCTTCTATAATAAAAGAGAAACATGCAAATTAACCATCCCTCCACTATGCTCAAATCACAGCCACAAGCCAATCAGGATCACGTATGCAAATTAACCCAACTAAGATGGCGGCGGCCATGGAGCTGGAGTGAGCAGGAGGCTTGGGTTGCTCCCGTGGCGATAGAGGAAGCCAAGCTTCCTGCTGGCCCTGTACTCAGCTTAAGGAGTGGCTGGGGGGGCAGGGGGGTGGGG